ATGTCTGGGAGCATGAGTACCTGCTTAGTCATCTCTCACAGTTTGTTTCAACCCAAGAAAAGGTAGTAATTGTTTTAGGTTTCAAAAGTGTGTTTGGGAGGACGGTGCTGTGGCATAGCGGGTAAAGATGCTGCCTGCAGTGCCAGCGTCTCATATGGGCGCCGGTTCATGTCCGGCTGCTCCACTTCCCATCCAGCCCTCTGCTATGGCTTGGGAAAGCAGGAGAAGATGGCCCAAGTGCTTGAGCCCCTGCACCCAAGTAGGGGACCCAGAGGAAGCTGTGGCCAATTGGGGAGTGAACCAGTGGATGGAAGATCTTTCTTTCTGTCTCTCCCTCTCACTGACTGTAACTCTACCTCTCAAATAAATAAATAAAAAAAATTTTTTTAAAAAAGAATACAGATCATCAGTTAAGTTAATTTATGCAACTGAAGAGATTTTTTGTTTCTTTTTTTGATTTTATTTATTTATTTGAAAGTCAGAAATACAGAGAGGATATACAGAGAGTGTACCTGTGCGTTCACACACACACACACACACAGATCCTCCATTTGCTGGTTCACTCCCTAGATGGCCTCAATCGCCAGGGCTGGCCCAAGCTGAAGCCAGGAGGCAGGAGCTTCATCCTGGTCTCCCACATGGGTGGCAGGGACCCAATCACTGGCTATCTTCCACTGCTTCTGCTGTTTTCCCAGGTGCATTAGCAGAAACGTGGATCCAAAGTGGAGCAGCCAGGACACAAATCAGCACCCATTTGGGTTGCTGGTGTCACAGGGGGCAGCTTTATTCCTTAATGCTGCAATGCCAAGCCCTTTTATGAATTTTAATTTTATCACATTTATCCTAAGCAAGTGATGATTCTAGCAATCTTCACATGTCATCATATTTTCCTATCACATTTCTGGCCTTTCTTCTTTTTTTCTTTCCTTTCTGATGTGTTTGTGAATGGGAAAGGGAGTTCTGGCATGCCTGAGCCTCTGCAGTAATAAGACACAGACACTCCTGTCTCCTCACGGGGCCTTTCCCGTGTGCAGGTAGCTGCTCTGTACTGCGAGTTTCCATCAGATCTAGCATGTTCTGCTTGGGGCGCGATGCTCTTCTTTCAGCTGAGAATAGTGTCCATGACGTTATTTCATGAGCGTTTGGAAGAACCTTCATTTTGTGTCTGTAAGATGTTATGAATATCCTGCATTCACTGAGTTTCCTAAGAACGTCAAAGGGAACACACCTAATTACAGGATGAAGTCATAGAAGGAGGCTTCGAAAGAGTTAAAAAAAAAAAAAAAAAAAACCTTGTGATGTTGTAAGGATACCAAGGTTAATGGCTTCCATTCAGTATACTACTTTATTTCTAAGTGTGATAGGCTTCTTCCCCCTCCATTCAAATGTTCTACTAGCATGAGTCAGATGGGCTCGTCAGCTGGGGCAATCTGCCCTCGCAAGAAGAATGTAGCTGAAAGGCTGGGTTTGGCATCAGGTCTGCATTATTACCCACCTCTGCAACTTGAACACCTTGACAAATCACTGGCTCTCTGGGCCCAGCCTCCTTCCATGTTAAATGGAGTCTTAGCCACAGGGTGGGTGGGAAGACAGTGGGATGAAACATCCGTAGAGCCTGCCTTCCAGCAGGAGCATAAGCAGTGCAGTGAACAATGCGCTTTTCTTTTCAGAGCAACTGCTAGAACACACGGTGAAGGCACACAGTTATCAGTGCACACATCAGAAGCAATCTGGAGAATAATTTATTGGGAATTCACATCAAATCTTTTTGGATCAATGGGACTTCTAAACAAATGGAGTCAAGAATCTTAATGAGGGGCCGGCGCTGTGGTGTAGCAGGTAAAGCCGCCACCTGCAGTGCCAGCATCCCATATGAGTGCCAGTTCGAGTCCCTGCTATTCCACTTCCCATCTAGCTCTCTGCTATGGCTTGGGAAAGCAGCAGAAGATGGCCCAAGTCCTTGGGCCCCTGCACCCATGTGGGAGACCCAGAAGAAGCTCCTGGCTCCTGGCTTCGGATAGGTCCAGCTCCAGCTGTTGAGGCTTCTGGGGAGTGAACCAGCGAATGGAAGATCTCTCTCCACCTCTGCCTTTGCCTCTTTGTAACTCTGCCTTTCAAATAAATAAATAAATTTTTTGGAAAAAAGAATGTTAATGGAGAAGGATATAGAGGAAGAAGACCCACGGTGACTAAGAGAAGCCATTGGTGAGGAGAACTCGCCCAGCATGAGGAGAGGATATAATGCAGCAATTCTTTCCATGTAGGGATATTTGCAACTTCAGTGCCACATATCACCACCCACTTAAAATGCGAGCAATCTCAACTGAAACAGCCCCCAGAACTTCACACACCTAACTCAATGATTCGCACAGGCATTGTTCATAAAAAGGTGACTTTTATATAGTCATAGCCTTTTTATATTGGGTTGCAACTTGGGCCTTTGCCTTCAACTATGACTTTAATTAAACTTTGCATGTTTCTTTATTTCCTTGTTCTCATGAAGGCTACTTATTACTGTGTGTCTTATTTTTGAAAAATATACATAGCAGCAAATAATTGAATAATGTCTACTAGACAAAAAAATAAGTGTAATTTTGAAAATTAATGCCTGGTTCCTATGGCTTTTCAGAAAAGCTCTCATGGTTTCATTGTTAATGCAGCTATTAAGGCAGTTATACTCTGATATAATGGAATGACCCAGGGTTTTGTATATGCAGCAACCAGGCCCACTTACATGCTAGAGACTGAATTGAGGCGATTTCAGCTCTGGATCCAGAACTGGACACCCCCCTCTCTTGACCTTGAATCCAAATTAAGTATTAACCTAATTGAAATTAAGTCCAAATTAGGTATTAGTTCCAGGAAGTATTTTGGATGGCAAATCTGTGCTTATCCCCAGAATTTCAAAGAGGTCCATGACCTTAAAGTAATGTGGAAGTATCAGTTTGCTGTCTCCTTCCTTTTCCTGCTGTCTCCTATGCTGGTGCGTATATTTCCATCACATATAGAAAAATGACAGACTAAAAATACAGGTTGTTGATATAAAACATTTTATAATTTAGAAGATTTCTTTGTTCAGAAATGTCTGTGCAAATGTATTTCCAACAAGGGAATCTTATACAGGAAACATTGTACTTGTACCACTGTCAACACAGACCCAATTATGTTTACTTCCTATAAATTTAAAAACAGAAGACACAGGTAACGGACATTTGAAAAAAATTATAAAGCATCATTACTTAAATTTTTAGAGTATTAAATGTTTGGATTATTATGCCACTGTTATCTTGCCATCTAAATCACTTTCTAACAAGACAACTCTAGAAAAAGAAATCAAATAATCTCTACCCTACCTTTTTTTTTTTTCTTAACCATGGCATTTTCTGTAGTTACTTACACACAGTTTAATAACCTCTCTTGTAAGATACAGTCTTAAGTAGTAAACACCTCAGTGAGAGTCTTAAAAAAAATCATTCCCACAATAACCCAAGGAGGCTGATTAAAATGTAACTGTGTATATATGTTTAAAAAATGCTTGTAAATAGTAGTACAATACTTACTGAACAATAGAATGAGTTCATTATCTCAGAGATGTTTTAATAGTTTCAAAAAAGCAGATTACTTGTTAGATGTATAAGTTTGTGAACTTACAGTATGCTAGGTATGTCTGATCATTTTATTATTTTATTTCACCACTATTTTTTCTGCTATTACAAAAATTATCTGCTAAATGACAGTTGTGACACAGGACACCTTTACTTCTTAAGAAGCTCATATAATTGTGCTACAGGGATTAATGATTCATGCATAACTTCCTCTAAACAGTTTGTCTAATGTCTGGTTCAGCAAAAAATAAACATTCACGATGAAAAGAACACAGGACTTAGAGAACGTAGTAAAACACTTGGAAATATGCCTATTGCATAACTTTAAAGTGTCATGGTGAGATATTTCACACAGGTGAAGCAGATGCCTCCGTGAGAGGCACTGTGGTTGGAACCACACTTTGCTTCGTAGTCACCAAAGGAAGTTTCAATACCAGAGACACTGAAAGTGTTAATAAAATGTTCCGTCACCAAAAACCAAGACTTCAGCTTACCTATATTTTTGAATACTATTGAGCAATCTACTTTCTTTTTTTTTTACAGTCTTTGTAGAGTGCTCATATATCGGGAAGAAAAGCATGGGAAGAGCCGCATACAAAAGGTTTGCTTTTTCCAAAACAACAAGGACGACAAAAACCCGCACAGCATTCCATTGCTCAACAAACAAGGATTCAGGCGCGCCAGAGGCATTACTCGGAGGATGGCATTGCATACACAGGGCGCCAGCACTCGCAAACCTGCTTGTACGACATTATTACTTGATGAGTGGCTGTCTCCCAGCTGCACTGCCTGTGACTGCCCGGGTGTTTAGAGACGTCAGCATATTCAGCAGTGATTTAGAAATCAGTAACTCCCCAACTCTGATGTAACCAAGTGACAGCTTGCAAACAAATGAATACCAACTAGGGCAACTTCCTGGGGGGCCATGAACACTGCTTCTGAAGTTATAGTCCCGCTTTACAGGATAGGAGCCTCCCGTGTTTTTAGGGTTCTCCATTCTCTAACACGCCCCCAGTAAGCCCCATGCAACTTTGTGCCTGGCGCAGATACGCTGCGTACTCCCCAAATGCGTGAGCAGAGAACAAATCCACTCCCATTCCCTCAGGGTCACGCACACCAACTTATCCTTATCGAAGCCTTACTTTCAGAGTGCAGATCAGTTAGCAAAGTCTCCGGGACCGAGAGGCCAACTGTTCCAGCCGCGTTTCACAGCCGTCCCGGAGGGCAGGGGGCAGAGACCGCGGGGCGGGGATGGAGGCGGGCCGGGGACCCCCGGGGCAGCCGCGGGAGGGCCGGGGCGGGAACAGGGGAGGCGACTGAGAGGGAAGGGCCCCGGGAACCGGCAACTGGCGGCCAAGGGGCGGCTGTGGCCCCGATCTTTACCTGCGGTGCTTCATGGGGTACCGGAGCGCGGACTGCCGCTGCATTTCCCTTCATCCCAGGCCACAGGAGACCACCGGCGTCCCCGCGGGCAGCGCAAGCCTCGGCTCTGTCCTCCTTCTGCCACCGAAGCGACCACTCTGCTCCTGGGCGGGGGAGCAGATCCCCCGAGCCGCAGGCGCCCCCATCCATGCCAGCGCGCCGAGTGTTGGGGGCCGGGGCGGGAGAGGAGACTGGGGACGGACACCGTCCAGGCAACCGCGCCGCCCCCGGGTAGCCCCGCGCCGCCGGCGAGACACGCTTGGCGCCCACCGCGAGCGGCCACCGTGCCCAGTCCCACCGCGCACCCTGCTGCGCCCCTCGCAGCCCCTGCCGCGGCTGCCCCCAGCCACTGCACCACTTCCAGTGCCGCTCCACGTCCAGCACCGCGCGCCTCTCCGGGTCCCTACACCGCGTGGCCCTCCACATGCCTCTCCTGCGGCTGCCCCCACCTCAGGACCTTACAGGTGCCTCGACTCTCATTACCGCGCACCCCTCCAGGACCCTGCCGGGCCCCGCTCTTCCTGCGCCCCTCACGCACCCCTCCAGGTTGCCGTGCTTCCACGCCCTACCCCTGTCCCTGCGGCGCTCCAACCCCACCTCTCTTCTCTCCACTCGCCCCCTGTGATGGCGCACGCGCGTGGGTCGCTGGGCAGGGGGCACTTCTGGCTGCTGTGGGCTCCTAGCCGGCTGTTTTGGCCCCTTCCATCTTTCCCTCCAGTCCAGCTGCGACCTGGTAAGGCGCCTTGGGCTTGGAGCGCAGGTACGAAGCTGCGGCTCTTCCCACCTCGGATCCTGGTCCTTCAAGATCGCAGGAGTCCTCGCCTTCCCATTCTGGGCTGTTTTAGGGAGTTCCTGCTGGGCGAATGGCTTTCCACTCGCGACCCCCGAGGACTTCAGAAGCAGCACCCTTTGCTCTCTGAAGCTCCTGCAAGGCCAGGCCCTTGTCAGACCGCTAGGAGGCACTCCTCGGATTTTGCAGACAGCGCTCTCATAAAAGTCATGCTGAAATAGTGAGTGCTACTGATCCATTACTTGTTTGTTTTTTGAAATAGATATTTATTTTGTTTATTTGAAAGCCAAGCTTATAGAGTGAGAGAGGAGAGACGGATATTCCATCCTTTAGTTCACAGCCTAAATGACACAGTGGCCAGGCTGAGTCCAGGAGCCAGGAGTTTCATCCTGATCCTTGAAGTGGCTGCAAGAGCTTGAGCACTTGGGCCATTTTCCACTGCTTTCCCAAGCCATTAGCAGGGAACCCTTTTTAAAAATAATTTTAAAAAATTATTTATTTATTTGAAAGGCAGAGTTACAGAGAGGCAGAGAGAGAGAGAGAGAGAGAGAGAGAGAAAGTCTTCCATCTGCTGATTGACTCCCCAATGGCCGGAGCTGTGCTGATCTGAAGCCAGGAGCCAGGAGCTTCCTTCAGGTCTCCCGCGCAGGAGCAGGGGCCCAAAGACTTGGGTCATCTTCTACTGCTTTCTCACGCCATAGCAGAGAGCTGGTTCAGAGGTGGAGCAGCCTGACACAAACCCGGATCCATATGGGATGCCGGCACTGCAGGCTGCGGCTTTACTGGCTGTGCAACAGCGCTGGCCACTTCCCGTTACATTTAAGAAGCTGATTTACTATGTTTTTTTTTTTTTCCAAGATCTGGTTAGATGCTTTCCTCTGCAATTACGTGAAACAGAGTTCTCTGACCAGTACTTGCGTAGTTCATTTATTTACTCCTTGACATTCTCAGAGACACATGCACACCCCTTCATTTACATAGCAGAGAGACTTGGGTTTAGCAGGTGGTGGATGGAGTGGGTATCTAAGATGTTTAATGAACGTGCACTAAGCAGGAAAATTATCAAACACTCATCTGATTTCAGAAAGGATCGTACTGATGCATGCTATGATTTTAACAATGGAAGTAAGCTACCATATTGAGACCCAGATAGAACCACAAAGTTGCTGGAGCATTTATAAATGCTTTTTTTTAATGTAACAAGATGCAAAATGCAAGGTAGAAATGTTTACAAATTTTATATGGCACTTTTTTCTTTTTAGAGAAAAACACAAGACCAGGTTTATTTCATACAATGTCATTCACACATTTTTCATTTTCTAATTCATATGTAATATACAAGGAAGTGAAGATGACATTTAATAGGAACCACTAAGAGCTAGGACTTAGACAAACTGGTCCAGAAACAAATCCATATCAAAAGGAGATACTCAAGAATGTGGTGGTTCTGCCCAATTTAATAGTTTTTTATTTTGAAACAGATTTGGCCAAAACTCCATGCCAACTTACTAAAAGGTGTTGGGGTAGGCACCAAAAATGACAGACCATATCATTTCCAAAGAACAGGTATTTTCTAGAGTAGGCCTAAAAGTCTTGGGAAGATTGGGTTGTCAGCTTCGGAACACATGGGAACATCAGGACCCCAAGAGGAGAGTTCGGTTTCCCAGTATAACGTTTCTGGGACTTGTCATTTCCTAAATGTGCAGTAACAACTGACTATGCCAGCAGAGGGTAAGGATGCAAACTGGGAATGCACTGTACAAACGCGCGGAAGTCATCACCCTTCTCCTGGGACAGCTTCGATCCTGAAACCAAGAGCTCATACTGGAAACGAAAGTGGAGCCAAGACACTCTGAAGCTGGCAAGTCAAGGTAGGTCAGGAAACAACAGTGTGTATGGGGGTGAGGGAGGGGAGTGGGGGGAGTGGACGGAGAAGCACTGCTGCTGTTGACAGGGCAGACCAGGGCGACTATGCAAAGCATTGGAACAAATGGTTGGATTTAATGGCCTCACCAAGGAATGTTGGGTTAGAAAACTAGGGTACTCAACAACAAATGTGAAAAAGTATGCCTGGTGCCCCAAACTTTATGCCATTCTTTCAGGTTCATGGCAAGAGCATCTAAGTGGTAAAATCTTTATATTCAACATTGTGCTAAGAAGATTGATATTCTTCTGCAGATCACTAGTAAAAAATCCCTTCCATGTTCAATTGACAAAGATTGCCTGTTCATTTCAGTTTCCAATTCTAAACATAAGTGGGTCAACATAAATGTTTATACAAAATATTGACTTCAACAAAATACAAAGCACTGGGGCCAGCACTGTGGCTCACTTGGCTAATCCTCCGCCTGCGGCACCAGCATCCCATATGGGCGCTGCGTTCTAGTCCTGGCTGCTCCTCTTCCAGTCCAGCTCTCTGCTGTGGCCCAGGAAGGCAGTGGAGGATGGCCCAGGTGATTGGGCACCTGCACCCATGTGGGAGACCAGGAGGAAGCACCTGGCTCCTGGCTTTGGATGGGTGCAGCGCTGGCCATGGCAGCCATTTGGGGGTGAACCAATGGAAGGAAGACCTTTCTCTCTGCCTCTCTCTCTCACTGTCTAACTCTGCCTGTCAAATAAGTAAAAAAAAAAAATACAAAGCACTTTCTTTATCTTTTAGAAACTGAATATACAAAGCAAGTTTTTCCCAAAATATTTTCATAGGCAAAGAATTAAAAATGATTTTAATCATACACATATGGTCACAATTTGGCCTTAAAAAGATTCTTGGGAAATGTACATAAACGTACATCATGTTTCCATTATAATGTCTTATGTCCAGAGGAAAAAGTGTTACCACACAGATTTGCTCTTACTTGGGAGTAGGCTATTCAAAAATACTGTACCCTTCTGTACAAAGAAAAAAGTTGTATCACATTTAATAAGATGAAAGAAACATTGGCCTCTGTGGTAACCAAATATCTCAGTCCAATACCTTCTAATATGCATAATACCTTGACTTCAGTTGAAAATGACCCAAATCCTCTCTTGTCCACATCAACCAAGTCAACAACTATGTTATAAAACAAAATGTTTCTCACAACAATGAAAAGAAGGCTGGTTCATACTTCTGAAGCCATATACAGGTGAAACATTTAAAAAAATCACTCGATTTGGTGAAATAGATTCACATTATACAACAATATATGATGGCATCTTTTTTAAAAGCAAACTTTTTTAAAGGTCATCAAAAGGTGAAATGTCAATTTCTCAGAAAAGTCCAGTGGAATATTTTAGTAATTATTTCTGTACCTTATAGACGGCCATAATGACCATTCCTCACAAATATTGCTCTCACACAGAGTAATGAGGTGGATGTGGAGATAGAGAGCTAAGGATATTTGATTGATTTTCTACATATTTCACAGGCAACACAGTGACAACAATTGTGAATTATTGGTCTAAGAGTGCCCATGATAGCCAGTAATGGCTGCAGTTTAAATGTCTCTGATAAAGAGTTTAAAAATCATTAATGTATTTTAAATTAGCAAAACAAACATCTCAGAGTCAGAAAATGTTTTGTTATTGTTGGCTTAGAAAGAAGTAACTGGCAAGTTTCATACCACAGATGGTGACAGCTCTGGGGATTGGGGGCATTTGCTAGGATTCCCCTGATGTTAAGCCAACTAAGCCCAAAATGGTATGTGGAAAAAACCAGATGTGTCTACAAGGTGTGCATTCTCCAGAGTGCTTTGACTGAACATCTTACCAGTAAAAAGGATTTTGAGCCACACAGTACTCATAATTGATGACTGTATGATATGCAGAATAGTAATCTATAGTTTCGTTATAAAACAGAGGGATAGCAATATCTCAAGGGGAAAAAAGAAAACAACTCGGTGTGACACCAACAGATGCAGATCAGCCAGAAGCTTAACAGGCACACCAGGGAAAAAGACAGTCAAGGAAGATGGAGAGAAAGCACACTTGTCTAAGGAGAAGGTGGTTGCAAAGATTGCATGCTTGCCCGGCGGTGTAGCTCATGAGAAGGGCACACCACAGGCCTGCACTTCTCTGAACATGTCCAGCCAATCACTAAGCAAAGAAGCCAGGAAACAAATGCCGACGATATGGGAGTGATCACAACCCAAGGTTGCCATAGCATGTTATTTAATACATGTAGTTTGCAATAAAAGTTATGAAATATTGAAAAATAGGCCAGTGTCACGGTTCAATAGGCTAATCCTCCACCTGCAGCGCCGGCACCCCGGATTCTGTGCCAGTTGCTCCTCTTCCAGTCCAGCTCTCTGGAGTCTCCACTCTCAGGAGTGCAGTGGAGGATGGCCCAGGTCCTTGGGCCCTGCACCCGCATGGGAGACCAGGAGGAAGCACCTGGCTCCTGGCTTTCGATCAGCGCGGCCTGCTGGCCGCAACACACCGGCCATAGCGGCCACTTGGGGGGTGAACCAATGGAAAAAAGAAGGCCTTTCTCTCTGTCTCTCTCTCTCTCTTCACTGTCTAACTCTGCCTGTCAAAAAAAAAAAAAAAAAAAAAAGAAATATTGAAAAATAAAAACAGTAGCAATGAAATCCACCAAGCAATCAACCAGGAAAAACCAACCAACCAACAACAACAAAAAAACCCAATAAAATATGACCCATATGCAGGAGATAAAGCATGCAATAGAAACTGATTTTGAGATGTTGGATTGAGCACATGAAGAGTTTGGAGCAGTTACTTTAAATGTGGTTAAAGGACTTGAAGGAAACTGTGCTTAAGAATTAAAGGAAGCTATAACAACAGTGTCACATCAAATAGAGAATACTGATAGATAGAAAATATAAAAAAGAACCAAATAGGGGCCGGCGCCGCGGCTCACTAGGCTAATCCTCCGCCTAGCAGCGCTGGCACACTGGGTTCTAGTCCCGGTCAGGGCGCCAGATTCTGTCCCGGTTGCCCCTCTTCCAGGCCAGCCCTCTGCTGTGGCCAGGGAGTGCAGTGGAGGATGGCCCAGGTGCTTGGGCCCTGCACCCCATGGGAGACCAGGAAAAGCACCTGGCTCCTGTCATCGGATCAGCGCGGTGCGCCGGCCGCAGTGCGCCGGCCGCGGCGGCCATTGGAGGGTGAACCAACGGCAAAAGGAAGACCTTTCTCTCTGTCTCTCTCTCTCACTGTCCACTCTGCCTGTCAAAAAAAAAAAAAAAAAAACAAATAGAAATTCTATAATTGAAAACTACAATAATCAAAACAATTTGCTTGGAAGCCTCAGCAGTATATTTGAGCCAACAGAGCAAAGAACAAATGAAATGAGGGATAGACTGACAGAGTTTATGCAATCAAAAACTGGAGAGAAAAGAATGAAGACAAAACGAACACAGTTGCTGAGGGCACAAATATATGCATAACAAAAATGTATAAAAGAAGGAGAGACAGAAACTAGAAGAAGTATTTTAAAAATTAATGACTGAGAGGCCAGCACTGTGGCTTGGCAGGTAAAGCCATCGCCTGCAGTGCCAGTATCCCATATGGGCGCCGGATCATGTCCTGGCTGCTCCACTTCTGATCCAGCTCTCTGCTTGTACCCTGGGAAAGCAGTGGAGGATGGCCCAAGTCCCTGGGCCCCTGCACCTGAGTGGGAAGACGCAGAGGAAGATCCTGACTCCTGGCTTCGGATTGGCACAGCTCCGGCCATTGCAGAGTGAATCAGCAGATGGAAAACCTCTCTCTCTCCTCTCTCTGTGTAACTCTGACTTTCAAATAAATAAATCTTAAAAAAAATTAATGACTGAAAACTCTCCACATTTGATATAAATAATTAAACTAAACATTCAAGCAGCCTAGCATTCTACAAGTATGATACACACTGGGAGACATGGTCACAATGTTGAAAGCCAAATACAAAGGGATCTTGATAACAGCAAGAGAAAAATCAAGTACACTAAGATTAACATCTCATCAGAAACAACAGGGTCCAGGGTGCAGTAGGGTGACATGCTGAGTGCTGAGAAGAAAAAAACACAAAACAAAGAAAAACTTCTGCCAACTAAGAGATCGAGCAAAATCCACTTTCAAAAATCACACAAAATAAAGATTTCTGAAGATAAATAAAAATTGTACACATGTTTTACAAGAAACACTAACAGTAGTTCTTTAGCCTGAAAGTAACACACACACACACAGCACCATGAATTAATTATGTAAGTATTTTAAAAAGAAAGTATAATTGTACCTTCTTTTGTTTTATTTTCCTAAATGATATACAAATCACTTGTGTAAAGCAAAATGTAAATAATTGCATTGGTATTCCTATAACACAGAGAAATGTTATATAATTGATAATAACAGCACAAATAATGTGGGTGAGACAGGAATACTTAGAGATAAATGAAAATAAAAACAATACAAAAATCTATGGGATGCAGTTAAAGCAGTGTTGAGAAGGAAATTTTTAGTTGTAAAAGCCTACATTACAAAGAAAAAAATCTTGAATGTATAATCTAAGCTTTAACCTTAAGAAATTTGAAAAAAAAAAAAAAGTGAACCAAACATAAAGCCAGTGGAAAGAAGGCAATAATAAGGTTAAATTGGAAACAATTGTAATAAAAATAGATGAACAACAGAGAAAATCAATAAAGTCCAGGTGATTCTTTGGAAAGATCAAATTGACAAACTCTTATGTATAGTCACACACGCACACACACACACACGCACACACACACACTCAAAAGATCAAACATCAAAGACATACAAAAAGATAGCAAATATCAAACTACTGAAATCAAGAATCATCAACCTTAAAGAAATGAATGGGTTATAAGGGAGTACTGTGAACAACTGTCTTCTTACAGAACAGATAACTTAGAGGAAATGGATAAACTTCTGTGTAGACACAAACCACTGAAACTGATGTAAGAAGTGAAAGTCTGAGTAGATATCTGAAAAACGAAGACATGGAGTTATTAGTTGAGCCAAATGCCTGTGCCCATATGACTCCAGTGGCGAACTCTAGCAAGCATTTAAAAAAGAATCAACATAAGATTTTCATAAGCTATTTCAAAATATGGAAGAGGAGAGACAGAAACCAATTCAGATGAGGCCATATTACCCTGATACCAATTCACACAAAGCCCTCATGAGAACCAGACAAAATCTTTAGAGTATTATAGATGCAAAAGTCCCCAAATTGCTAGCAAACAGAGTCCAGCAACATATAAAAAGCTATTATTTGCCATGATCAGTGGGATTTACCCTAAGAATGCAGAATTGGTTTCACATTTGAAAACCATTGGTTTTAACACAGGATAGTAAGAAAATAAAAGAAAAAATTCACAATATCATCTTAATAGACATAGGAAAGCATTTGACAAAATAAAACAACTTTTCCAGATAAAAATACTCAAAAAACTAGGAATTAAAAAGGATCTGTCTCAATCTGATAAAGGGCACCTATGAAATATCCACGGCTTACATCTTATGACAACTTAATGGAGAAAAACTGAATGTTTTCTTCCAAAGATTGAAAAAAAAGACAAAGATGTTTACTCTCACAACTTCGAAAAACCAAGTTGTGGACCCACAGTTCCTAATTTTGAGACTTTCTGCAAGTTCCTTGTTTTGCTAGTGTAAGAATGGACATGTGGATTAATGAATGAGAGTTAAGAGTCCAGAAATAACTCTGCCATTGACAGATAATTGATTCTTCAGAGGGGTGCAAGAGCCTTCAAAGGGGCAGACCGGTTCTTTCAATAAATGATTTGGTGACACCTGGGTGGTCACGTGAGAAAGAGTGGCAATGGGCCTCTTCACACCACACACAGAAGTGAACTCAAAATGTATTACAGGCCTCCACATACGGTGCTAAATCTACACAATTGTCAGAAGAAAAAACGTGAGTAAATCTTTGTGCTTCAAGTCAGGCAAGTCTTCTTATGCATATATTAAAACTACAAGAAACAAATAAAAATAAACAAATTAGTCTTTATTAAAAGTCTGTCCCTTGCAATCAGATTATATAATCAAGAATGTGAAATGATGACAAAGCCATAGGGAATTAAAAAATTTGCATGTCCGAGAGCAGCCCTCGCTACTGTGTGGATCCATAGCAGCTATTAAACTGTGGATCACCCTCCAATGGCCGCCGTGGACGGCGCGCTGCGGCTGGCGGACCGCGCTGATCCGAAGGCAGGAGCCAGGTGCTTCTCCTGGTAAACTAACCCAGTGTCCATTCTTCTTCATTCTAACTATCTCTTTTTTATCTAACTACTTTTTTATCTATCTTTTTAAAAATCTTTATACAATTGGAAGGTATAGCAAGTTTTGCACTCCATAATTATATGGTTATTAAATGAAATACCTAATGTGAAAGTTGTCAGAACCAAAATGGAATCATTTTTATCAAGTCCTAACCAAACAAGAAATACATACATATGCACATATGTACACACATACACACATAAGTAAAGCTGGGAGACTGTGAAGGAAAGTATCTCAGGCATGACTGCTAATACAACAGCTGTTCACAGAAGAATCTTCCAGAGCCATGAGCTCTCACGAAGGCCACTGCAACCTTTCACAAAAGAGGCTTCTGCAAAGACATTTGTCCCGTGGCTGTCTGCTCAACCTCAGACTGAAACCACCTTCCTTATTGCTCCTTGTGGCCAGTGATTATTGTCTTGAAATATTATATGTAATTCTCTTCATTTTGCCTTAAAAACTTTCCCCTGCTTTGACCTCCTTGAATGTGTGCATAGTTTGCTGTGGCTCTTGTGTTTGCATTGCAATGCTCTGCTATTGTCAAATAAGTATCGTGGTTCTTTGTAGCATCTCCACCTCAATAGTTATTTAGGTTGACGCTCCACAGATGTCCAGGGAAAGAACTGTAACAAATGGTTCTGTGAAAGTGGGGTGATGATTATATCCTGTATTCTCTCTTAGGTGATTAAATACTTTTTATTTCCCTCACAAATTTCTCAGAGTTGCATCAACGACGTTATGAGCTGGTGACGTTGCTGATGCTCTCTGACATGCCAAACTGGTTTCTGGCAGTGTTTTTACTTTAAAAGTTCATTTAAATAAAATTTTGAACCAAACTTGAACATTCTCAATTTGCAAATCAATTCAGCTATTCCTTTAAAAAGTACATTTTATGCCTTTCTGGTTTTCAGCTGGAAGCATCAGTAAAGAATACTAAAATTTTTACTGGAATTTTCTTTTGGATCTTGAAGTTCACTCCTGTTTACATCACAGAATGCCAAATTTAACTACGGTGAAAGTCATCATATAGGGTACCTTGACAACTGAAAAAAAGAAGCTACAATGGAAATTTTTTTTCAGTTTTACTTCTGAAAATACAGCCATCCTCTGGAATCTGATGAGAAATTTGTTCCAGAATCACCCCTAACCCTGTTAACTAACATCCACAGGTGCTTGAGTCTCTTTTGTGAAACAGCTTAGCATTTGCATGTACACACCCTCCCATATACTTTAAATCATCTCCAGATGGCTTATAATATCCCATACACTGTCAATGCTATGAAGTAGCTGTTGTACTGTGTCATTTGGGAAATAATGGGCAAGAAAAAAGCCTCTACATGTTCAGTACAGGCAAACATTTTTGAATCACAGTCAGTTGATTCTGACAACACAGGCCACCATGTGAATACAAAAGGATGATTTATTAAACTCAAACCTGAATTTTTCAGGTTTTGTTCCCCATTCTTTACCTTTAATTTAAATAATTCTATAAGATAGCTAAAATAAGAGGGTGCTTCAGGCCTTAGTCTTATTTAAATGAAGGGCAATTTGTGTTTATTATGTAAAAGTGTTTTCCTAATACGCCTTTTTCATGAAATTTTTGAACACTTTCCAAGTACATGGGTTTCAATTTTTTTGCATTGATATAAATTTATCTTTTAATTCCATTTCCATGAACTTCTTGAAGTCTTTTTGTATGTGGCAGATTTTGAACTGATAATAGCTTATTTTTTAAGATTTCTTATTTACTTAGAAATGGGAGGAGAGAGAAAGAGGGACAGAAAGAGAGAGAGACTGAGAGATCTTCCATCTGCTCTTTTACTCCCCAGAAGGCTACAACAGCCTGGACTGGGTCAAGCCAAAGCCCGGAGCCAGGAACTCTATTCATGTCTTCCACATGGGTGGGCACCTGGCCATCATCCATTGGCTTTCCAGGTGCATTAGCAGGGAGCTGGATGGGAAACAGAGCAGTTGGGACCTGAATCGGCACTCTGATATGGGTCAACCTTTTCCTCCACAACAGAGTGATAGCAGCTTTTAAGTGGGGACTACAACACTTACTGCCCCTTATTGGATACTAATACTTAATCCCCAAATATCTTGCTTATATTACTGTGTAAAATGCCTTTCATTACCTTCATGATCTGAGAAAATTCTACTTATCCTTGAAAACACTCAATGAATGTATACATAGAGACTTGTAATGACAGTGGGAAAAAGAACCCTAGTTAATGCTTACTGATGAAGATAATGGTGGTAATGTTCTTGAAAAATTAAAAAGCACAGATAATCTAAACTACCCACCTAATCGAGTTGAATCCTGATTGATTTAAAGAATGTTAGCAAAAATATATAATTCACTAACATTTGCAAGATCTTGAATGATTTGCTCATTTGGAATCATCCTATAGATAATAGTCTTGGCTTCCTGAAAATAAAAATATAGGAATATTAAATACCTCTGCTTTATTCATCCTCCGTGAATTTCACCGTCTGAGATGGAACTGTGTTTCGGATTGCAGTTTGCCCAGAGGTGAAGCTGGCACTCCCAGGCTGTGGCACATCTGTGGTGTTGTGCTGCGCTGCTGCAGGGGAGAAGGGTGCCATGCGCAGGGTTTGGATACAGCTGTTCCTAGAGGAGAAATCAACTTGTCTCCTAATTAGTCCTTCCGACAGCCGATTGACAGGGGCAGACGTAAATCACCTGCAGAGGAAGGGAAGCAAAGATGCTTCACCTGGGGAGAGGCCAGGCCTGGGAGAGAAGGCGTGGCCGGGACTGAGCCGCCACAGCTGCGTGCCCCACACTGCTCATCTCGGGTTAGGATTTTAGTTTCTGTGTTGAGGTTTT